AGCACTAATTAAGGGCAATGACTGCACATACAGATTTAGGGCACACAGCATAATGGAAGTAACTGTGCAAGCATTAAATCTGATGTTGTCATGAGATCATACCAAGCACCAACAATAAATTGTATTTCAATTCAAATCTCCTTGCTGTTAATTTGCTTACGTTGTATGTGTATGTGGACCCCTGAAAATTTTGAAATATATCGCTGCTATAGCAGGTTTCTGCCAAGGGTTGCCAAAAAAACCCACCTTCTTTGTGAAACAGCTTTGAGAAAAATGCAATGACCCTTTCCTACGGACAAGATTTCCCCTCACAAATGAATACGTGATGTTGGGCACACGTACTGCTGTCTATTTGCTGGCTGTCCAATTTTTTATATGGTCCCTATGATGATAGGCACAGTATCTCCTGTGCCCATCTGCCCACACAGCCATGATCATACGCGTACGGCAAGTGGGATGTCAGGAAAAATACCTTCATGAAGTGGTTAAAAAGATTTAAAGGAAATTGAATCAACGGTTTTGCAGAATGGATCGAAGTCCGCTGAAAAGAATCCACCTGAGGCTGGTAGAAGCTGACACCACCATCAGGACTCAAAGTAACGCAAGCCAGGTAGACAAATGCTGTCTAGCAAAAATCGCTCCGGGGCTACCCAGTTCTGCTTGCTGTGAAAAATCCACTGAAAACAAATTTAGATCAACATACACGTTTGTGTATGGTGGTGTCAGTATCAAATACTGTAAGTGATGTGGTTTTTTTTCTGGCATGACATATGCATGTGTGATACAAGAGATCACACGAAGAGAGACCGATGGGCCGCATAAATAGTAAGTGCTGCATAGCACAGAGCTCATGGTGGAGTAACAAACGAGTGTATCCTTTTTTTTTTCTTTTTTCAAATTGTTCATTACTTTTTCTAACCTACACAGCTGCACAGCTGTATGGTTGTCACACTCAGTCACTGAATTAATGTGGTGTTTTATGTAGAGTTTAATAGCGGTGGTCCTGGTAAACTGTGAAAAAGTATTTGTGTTGAACAGCTGAGAGAAAATATACATGTATATAGGGGCTCGTAAAAATATAAGAATATGCATGTAGGCAAGTGAAATCTTAAGTTAAGATAACCCTACGTGTACATGTATATTGCAGCGGTGGTGGAACGATTTTCAAAGTGGGGGGGAGGCAGTTGTTAGACCATCAGGCATCAGCTATTAATAGGACGATGAATGCATCCCCATCCCATTATAGGCCCTGCAAAAAGGGGGGGCATACGTACGCCCCCAGTCGAAAAAGTGGGGGATCCAATGGCCCCCCAGGCCTCCCCCACCCCACATCTGCCACCAGTGCCTGTGGGCTACCCAGGGAAAAAGGTTAGTGCAAGTTACATGTAGGCCTCATCATCATGGGGTCAATATACATGCATGTAAGTACATGAATTGTAATACTGTTGTACTGCATGGCTTGTGCAGTCAAGAGTGAACCTTGTGTTGGGAATAAAAACCTGAACGTACATGTACGATTTCTTTTGCAAACCAATCAATTGACTAGATGGTGATGATTTTGGAATGTACTGCTCATGCCCGCGTAGCAGGTGTACGTGCTCCCGTCATGCCTTATTCATTATGTATTATGAGTAATGAGAGCTTTGCTGTTCAATGTGGCAGTGTGCGTGACAAAAGTAACCTGCTTTTGCTGGACGCCTACATATATAGTACATATGAGCCGAACGTGGGAGAAATTACATGGCTTAAGTGTAAGTCACAGGATTCTGGCTCAAAAATGATAAAACAGTAGCCAAAATTTTAGCTAAAGGTTGCAGTAACTTTGATTTTTAATTGGGTGCTATAAATACAACTCTCTTTATCACCAGCTACGTGTGATTTTTTTATCCAATTAAAATGGATTTTCTCAATTAGTGCATTCTTTACGTTTTTAACCTCACTTGATGTGTTCGTGTTTTCAGCTGATTAACAACAAACGTTTTACTGTTCAACAAATGTGTCAGAGTCTGCTTTGCAACAGCTTTGGGTGGACAAGCAAATTTTAAAAAAAAAGTAGGATTCTATTTTTCTAAAAAAGCATTTCTATTTTTTCCTGTATTGAGTCATTTATGACGCTTGTGAATAAGTATAATATGAAATTAAGAAAATATCAAAAGGTAGCATTTTTATTGAATTCTTCCATTTGCAGTTTAACAATATGATTGGTTTCTTAAATAAAATATTAGGTAAAGAAATTACAAATTTTGGCTTTCTTGCATTGTGTTGCTTCAAACGAGAAACCTATTTTATCCCTATTTTTTAAAAAGTCAAAGGAGAAACTTACTTTATCCCTACTTTTTGAAGAGTAATTTAAAAACTAGTTTCCCTATTTTTAAAACTAGTAGAGAATCCTCTTTTATCACTATTTTATCGCTATTTTCTAGAGTGGCGAAATCCAAACAAAAAGATATTTTAAAATATATATTTTACATAGGAAAATAATCTACATGTACTTCTTTGCTATTTTTTTCCACTAGGGATGTGCCAAAGTCTGCTTTGCATAAGCTTTGGGTCGACAAGCAAGCGGTGTTATTCATGGTAATGCGTACACATGGGACACACATACATGTATGCTCAGAATTTCTAGGGTAAGCCTGCTGAATATGCCCAGACTATCAGTTCAGCATCTTGATAACTTCTTCTATATAAGCCATATGGATATACATGTATCTGATGTGCAGGAGTCTAGGGGATTTCATTCAAGTCCAGCCTGAGGCCAACTGTAAAAATCCGAAATCCTGCTTGGTGTATAGGGTTCAAGACTTGTGATCAAGAGATCAGAGGTTGGAATCCAGCTGCAAGGCTGTTGTGTCCTTGAGCAAGGCATTTCACCAGCAAATTGCCTCTCTCTATCCAGTAGTATAAATCGGTACCAGCAATCACTGGGTAAGCATCCTGCAAGTGCATGTATTCCATCAAGGGAGAACAGAAAGCTCTATTCCTTCTTCTAGATGTCTAAAGTCCTTCATCTTTCTCCCAGCTCAAGCTCTTTTAGGGTTCAGCTTTTAGACCGTAAACATTCCTGTACTCGTTTCAAAACATAACCAAGACATCACACAGGTATCTTTAATTATCCAAATCTGCATTTCAGACTTAAACTCTTAATTAAAGAATAACTTATTAATAAAAGTTTTAAAACCCAGAGGTCTTTATTTTTTTCTTACTGCATTATACACACTTTTGTGAAAAAATACACGCTTGAAGAAAATTGTTACCGTCATTCCAACACTCACCCAGGTGTTGATGTACAACATCGTTCCCATGCATGTGTACACAGACTTGTACAGGATTGTGTATTATTGTCTCTATTTTTACCCTGCAAACGATGTGACTTTTTGTCACTTCGTGTAAACAGAGAAACACAGAGGCTAAGTATTTTGTTAGTTGCTTGTTTACAGTTGAAAGGAAAATAAACAACATTTTACTCTGAAACTCCGCTAATTTGTTCTTTGGATCTGGAAAAACTCCAGATTAAAAAATCTTCGATTTTCTGGGGTTTCGTCAATTCCTGAAAACACCCACGATATGAGATATTGAATTTTAAAGGGTTCCATTCCTGTCTTCAGCGTTTAGATTGAAGGACGATAAAATGCAATCACCTGACATAATCACCTGACAGTTTGAGGGACCCCAAAAACAGTATAGGATCTTTGTGGTATATGTATTTCTGTTCAAAGGGCACCTCACTTCTTGTGTTCTACGGCAACTTCTATGCTTCACAAACGCCTTGATGATAATTCCAGGACTTTTCCCAGAGTTTAAAAGGGATTGTTCGGAACATCCTAAAATTGGGAAAATCCAGAGTAAAAATCATGAAATCAGGTAAAATCTTGACAAACCTCACCTGCATCCTTACACACATATAGGTCAAGCCCAAAGGCCCGGGTGTCGCAAGGTTGAAACACCCCCCCCCCACTGGCTTCTGAGTTCTACTCGTTGATGGGTTGGTTTTTTGTAATAAATATTTTTAATGTAATAATGTTCGTACCATTCTACATCGTGTTCCACAGCACATTATGAAAGGCCTTTATAAAAATATGTGTTCACACTGCCACTTTTGGGTTCGATGACCTCCCCATTTCTGGTCAAATGGGCCTGTAGGTCAAATTCAAATCAAAACAAAATCAAGTCACGAGCTGCAAGGATTCTGTGACTTGTCTAGTATGACTGCATATACATGTACTATTTCAAAACAAATTTTTTTTTTCTCACCGAAATACATTTTTAGAATGTACACGTATGAAAGGTCATTAGCCTTGCCCTGTCATGCAAAGTCCAAGTAAAGCTGCTGCAGGTGATGAGCAGCTCTAGTGTGCACATTAACACTACAATTATAAAGGACCCATCTACCAATCCAAATGAATCCATGGATCATTCCTGATCTATTTCTAGTTTTTTAAAAGCTGCCTAGGCTGGGTGCAAACCTGAAATGTAATCTCATCAGTCGCAGCTCCACAAATGAGTCGACTGACAGGGGATCAGCTGATGATGAGATCAGAAGTGCAAAAGACTGAATAAATCATGAGGAAGCGCCTGTGTCCCTTGTTCGAATTCATTTGGGATGGCCGACGTGTAGTTACCACATATATCTTTCCTGTCACTGTATAACTGTGGCCGGGGTTTTGCGTATTTGATCTAGCTGGGATACATACTGTCTCACAGTCTTATAAATTTTCATGCAATTTAATGCAACGCAGCGCAAACCATCAGTCCTGCATAATTGACTGACCACCTAATGCAATCGTAAAATCTTACTGATTCAGACTTTGCTTTTTTAAAGCAATTCTCTGCAACTGTAAATTATAAATGGAAACAATGAGCTTGTACAAGTAGCTGACGGTAGAATTACATGTATCAACGGAAAATGTCACAAAATGCAAAATTGAATGACTGCACGGCTATCAATCAATCATGCAGATCAACCAACCAAGCACAACATTATGATTCTATTTTGTACTTACCAACTTGGGATGCCTGGCTCAATTGCAAAACCACAGGCTTGTTAACCCTATGATGGAAGTCACAAGCACAGTCTTCCCCGCTGCCATTCAGCTTGCACACCAACGACCTCGCCTGACCCTGCACACAGCAGTGCCCGGCCTGGTTCGGCGAGGGCGTGCACGCTCCCGCATTGGTCAGATTCTGGGCACCGTGGTGGTCCGCCGCCACCTGCGAGGCCACCCGCTCTAGCTCCCCGCGCAGAGTCAGGCCCTCGCGGGCCAGCGACCGCGTTTCATCCGACAGCAGCTGCATGTGCTCTGTGAGGGCCTGGACGGACTGCAGGATCGCAGCATCCGATTCCCAGCCGGGGGCTGCCACATCGTCTCCGGTCTCCATCTCCACATTTGTATCCGCCATCGACATGTCTGCACTGTCAATTCACACCAGGTACTTAACCATTACAACACTTGTGACAATGTATCACCTTGTATTTATGCACACGTCCAGATGTTTCAAAAGGGGCAGTTTACGGCTCAGTAATTTGGGGTGATAAAGTGACTAACTGGTTAAGGGTTAATTCTGTATGGGTGAGTTTGCAAAAATCACCTTCCACATGCAGATTGGGTATCTGACATAGGTCTAGTCACTGTCGTATACTGCCATATATGGATCCTCTCAAAATAAACAAACTGCATGGTTTCAAAGCTTAAATTCATCAAAGGTTCCTGTTGAGTAAACTTATGATTTTACCACGGAGAGTGCTGTACTTCTGTTGGCTATCTGTAATTCAGACATGGACTACAGATTGCATCACATATGCTGGGAGTGAAGTCAGTACCGTGAATTTGCATTGTGCCTGGTTCCGCTGTTCATTGGTCCAAACAAGTTGAAGCCCATAGTGCTGGTTGGTGGGATGTACATCTGGCTAATGGATAATCCATGAGCTGACTTGGTTTGCAGTTTCTGATTGGCCAGAGAATCACTTTGCATGCAAATCCTTCCCTTGTGGGGGTTGATGCTGACAGAAGTCTCCCCGGGTTTTATTATTCATGAGGGTCCCTCTGCTGCTTCTCATTGGTCGGTAGCTTCATGCTAGGCATCAGTGATAGGTTGGAGAAAGCAGAGCAGGGTCAGCATAAATCAACGCCGACTGCAGATTGGCCAATTGAACCTCATCTGCCCTTGACTGGCAGGCCGAATTGGTGTTACCTTGATCCCCTGCATGGCAGTGAAAAAAAAATCATTTAATCAGTAAACAAAGAAACCAATATGGCTGGACCGCAGACCCCCTAGTGACTGCAAATTAAAGCCCCTGACAACAATAGATTCAGACAGTCTGCACACCCTACACAAAGAAACATGAGGTCCAAGTTTTGACACTGTTCACTCAGGGAACAATAGTCTAAGTCAACACGTGGTGTATCTCCTGATTTTGGACCATTCACACCAAGTACAATCATCTACAGCGAGCAAACAGAGCCATAAAAAGGCCTGATAATGGTATTATCTCTCCACTTCGATATTTTGGTACTAGAAGAGCACAATACATGCATTTTAATTGGCTGCACACGAAACTGTTGCCACAAAGCTAAAGCGTGTTGCTGCATAGGCAGACCACCTGACAGTTGACAGAGATGCAAATGCTCGTGCCACGTTTACACAGCCAAATAATAGGCCCATCATGCATTCTACATCCTGGGGAATCCTAGTGGGAAGGTTTGCAGGATTCTGTAGGATTGAAAAGGCATACATGTAGCTGGCAGAGTCACCAGGTACCTGATGCCTATAACAAGGTGGTGCCATCACAAGGAAGTCTTGATGTCACCAATAATTTAGAATTTCGGATATTTTGCTATCTTACTTTTAGCTGTTCATTTGAAATACATGGCAAAACAATTTCATAAGTGTGAATCCGTACAGATTACAACTTGTGACACTCCAAATTTTTTAATTGCAAACAGACACCAATTGCTGGATTGAAGGTGTGCACCCTTTTAAACACACATCTTTGCAAAAGATTTAAATCAAGGAAATTCACATCTTGTCAAACAAAATACAGTGAAATACTGTTAGAACTTGGGACTTCAGAAATTACCTTCTTGGAATAATTACCTTGTATTATTAGTAAATATGGAAAACAAAAAGAAACAAAAACTTGGAGCCAGAAATTGTCCCTTGTTATAAACATGACCTTGTATTAATGGTGCTCTTCTTATCTGTTTTCAACTGAACCTGCATGTTCACAATTTGAAATGGGACAGGGTGGGCTGGAGACTGCTTGAGGGAAATACATGCATGTAACAAGCACATAAATTAAGGGAATATTGTTAAGGTCATACCTGGGTGTATTATTGCGTCAGAGTGTATCAAGGCCTATTTTCATGACCCTTCACCCAACTCAAACAATGTGCTTTCAGGGGCCCACTCTCAAGCACCAAAGGGTGCCCTTGCATGGTTCGGCGCATTTTGCAGAACTTTGCGCTCTCTCGAAGATTCAAGTGACATAAACTCATTCGTATAGAGCCATTGTCAGGAATTAACATACAATGACCAGATTGTTTGGTAATAAACTTCACCTTTCGCGGCCTTGCCCAAGGCTATATTGTTTAAAGGTGCTTTGTGGCAGAAAGGTAGCGAAGGAGTATGATATGTACTTATATTTTTCTTTTCCGTGGGGGATACACTTTGGTTAAAGGGGAAAAAAATCCAGGGGGGGTTGGGCCGGCATAGTACTCTTCCCTCATGAACTGATAATCCATTGAAAATAGAAGGGGTCAATTTTAGGATTTTTCGAGGAAAATCGTGTTTTTCATCCCCTTTCATTTTTTGGGAGGCATTTCTGTCATTTGTTTGTTCTATTTTGCTTCTTTTTCATTTCGATTTTTTTTTCAAGGAGTCAGGTACCCCCCAAACACTTCGCAATGCCTGTGATTACTAAGCCCAAGGATGCACTGATGAGACATTTCTTTTTGTTAGGAGAATCTGGGATGAATTATGGTGTGTCCAACACAGTGTGTTGCTTTCTCTTGCCAGGTTGCTCTGGGATGCGTTGAAGAAACTACCTGTACTCGTACATTAGACAAATCTGGGACAGATTGTGGAAGGGTGGACTTCCCAAAGTAATTTGTTTTCACGTCCAAAGATGCTCGGGGAACATACTAATGAAGAGGAAATTTTGTACACAAATCTAGTTTGGAATGTGGAAGGGAGGACTTTGGCGAGTCCCATGATGCTTTGTTTTTGAATTGTAAAATACTGTACATCTACAAGTACCTCGGAGATGTAATTAAAAGAAAATTCCTTTGTTACATTAGAAAAACCTGGGAAGAGACTGCGGAAAGGACTCCTCTGGCGAGTCCCAATGATATTTTGCTCCTTGAATAATTAACTTACCCCCAGGGTGTATGTAAACTCATATTGAAATTGGAGGATTTGGGACTGTTAGGGCTATTAATCATAATAGCATGAATATTTTGACTCTACTTACTAGTAGGATAGCTAATAAAAAGCTAACAGTCTTTTTGAACTGAAATGTTGGTGGCCACTATAGCATGTCGTGGCCATCTTAGGAAATTTAAAGAAGAGTCTTCATCTTCCTTAGTTTGGAAAAACCCAAGATCAACACCAAATTTCTTTACTAGCCTTATACACATACTTTGACGTTTTGTTTATAAGCAATATTTGGAAAGAGTTCCATATACGGATGCCACTTAATTGACACGTACCCTGTGCATATACACCATGAGACTGGTCTGAAAAATTCTAAGTGTTTTCTAAGTAAATGACTTAGTTTTTTACCTCCTAACTTGAACGTTTCTGGGAATGTTTTTGCTTTTTGACAGCTAATAGGTCACTGTAGGGAATGATTACTGGTGTCCGTATAGGGTACTCTTCCCCAACATATGTGTTCAGCTGTATACTGAAGTTCTTCGCATATTAGACATGGCAATGGATCTTTCAGACAGGAAAGCGTTACCAAACTATTTCAGACAAAACTGTTTGTTTCAAAACTTAATGGTGGCCTAGACGTATTATTCAACATTTTCCAGCCAAATTCAAACCTTTCATAATTATTTATGGAATGCACTAGTCTAACAACGGGTTTCAAACTGAGGCTGCATCTGAATCTCTTGTCTAGAGCTAGGTCTAGGTCTTTGCTCCATTTGAAATGCGTGGAGACGTGCAGACAATAGACCTCAGCCGTAGCTCTGGAAACCCGTTTCGGACACAGCCTGAAATCACATAGCTCTATTCTCAAAGACAAAATGAAGTGAAAAGAAGTCACCTGTTGTAATTAAAGTGAGACTTCAAATTAATTGGCACTCTGTTCAGGGCCATACGAGCATAACCAGAGTTTAAATCGGTTCACTCATAACACTCATAAATTTTGATTCAGGTCCAAATTATTTTACAATCCCTTTACCATTTCCTGATTTGTCTTGCTATAGCCATATATAGTGAACAAGTGAGAGGATTGCTATGTTCCTTCCTCCATGATGTGATCATGGCAATCATGGTAATTATCTTTCTATGTGAGATACCGAAAGTAATCAGAACTACATGTATGTTGCCCCTGCTAATGTAAAGGCCTAATTTCATGATTACACCAAGGAGCAAGGAATTGTACCTGGAGGCAGAAATTGCTTCGATCGGCCAAACCACTCAGTGGCGCAGTGGTCCTTCAGCAAACATACGAGAGACATGGAGGAACAAGGCAGAATTCCGAAGAAATGCAGCTTTTTTGGAAGATCGAGAAAATCTGACATCCACCTGTCACGCGCGGCTACACGTACAAGATGTAGCACCCGAGGAATTATCATGCAGGTCGACAAAATGCAAATATACAACGTGCACATTATCATCAGTCGCGCCGGCGCGCCTTGTCTGGTAAAAAGAGACACGTCCATTGTATTACAGGGGTGGATCAGTAGCAAAACGTAAGAGCTGGGGGATATCGCAATGAGGACAACATTTTAAAAACCAATTGTACACTTATTATTCATGTTGGCTAAAAGCATACTGCTTTCGTACGAAGATATGGTGAATAAGATTGTGATTTATGAATTGCGGAGTTTAGTTTTTGCAGTTATACCCTCAAACGGTGGGTGAATGTACTATAATGCTGGACGAAGCCGCAACCTATAATGACTTGACTCTGCATTTCTCTTTACATTTGTATGTGACCTCCAGTCGTAGACAAGCTATTCGGACTCGATCTAGGCTTCAAAGTTCTATAGCAGTTTTTTTTTCGATACAAGGAAGTAAAGGGCGTAGATAATTTTGTTGACAATCACAACTGCGCTTTTGAAAACTAAAAAGGCGAAACAATAATGCACAATACAAAGTATGGATTCATTTTCACAGGGCTACTGGCTTCCTGTGTGGGAATTTTCGAAATAGCAGGCTAAAACGATAAAATTGATAACTTCATTGTCTTCGTTTTTCTCGAACAGTGCTTGAGGTGGAACTGGCCACCGGCTGTAGCCCTACTGTGAAGCAATCAAGCAAATTTTACAAGGTTTCTTTAAGTCATGGACAAAACTATTTAGCCATCTGAATGAGCATTTTCAAGGGGAACCGGTATAAAGTTATTATAATTATTCATTTTTCTGAATACACATATACGATGGGGGGTCGTAAAATGTTCCATGATTTAATATCACTATCAAGCTTCCGTTTGAGGAGCGGTGTAAAGTATATACCTTGCTTAAGGCCGGGGCCCGGGATCATGAATTTTGAGGTAGGCTGTAGCGCCGGCCTGCATGGGCTAGAACAGGACGTTTCCTTGTGAAAAAAAAGCCGACTTAATGGCGGAATGCTTTGCAGCACGTTTCTTTTTACCATTCTACCTCCATGTTTTTACTAAGCATCGACCCTGTCCGGCCCTGGACGGCGCGCAGGCCCTCGTTCAATAGAACTAACAGCGAAGCCACCGTGACTGCCTTTTCACTTCCAGTTTGCTTCTTGAAGCCTATGTTTCGGGGGGGGGGGTTCCTCGAAAAATGAGGGCAAAGTGTCTGTATTACTGTCCGTAGACATCTCTGACATCGCAAGTGCTCGTGTATAAAAAGATACACTCCGTCTTTATTATGAAAGATTTTGTTGCTATACTATAAACGCCAAATAAAATTTGGAACCTTCCCCCCTTTCAAGTTGAAAGGGGGAAGGTCCCAAGTTATCAAGCCGTGAAAGAGATTAGCCCTCACAATCCTGCCAGCATCAGCGGGAAGTGGGGAGGGGTACAAGTGAAACGGGGGGGGGGGGGACTAAAACAGAGATTTGGAAAATTTGATTGGTTGAAAAGGTTGCCAGACATAACCTGATTGGACAGAGACATTCACCCCCCAGAACGTACCTACTGCAAGGACATTGCTTGGTGGCGCTATAATTATTTCGCGCCACCGCGCGCCGACGGCGGCGCCAGACATGACTTACACTGTTTATTGTTGTCGGTGGTGATCAAAATCGGCATTGTGTTCGCTGTCTGAAAAGTAACTATTCGCGGTACCGGTAAGGTTCTTTTGTTATTATTTTCCTGATCTAATATCTCTGTTCTGATGAAATTCTCTTGTGTGATATGGTTTGATTTGTCCTGAATGATTTTCTTTCCTGACTTGCTTTCTCTCGCCGTATGAGAATCGGGTAACTTTAGGCGCCTGGGTCATGATGGTGATGGTGGGTGGCGTAGTACTACTACTAGGCCTGGGCCGGGTAGCTTGGCCTACCAATAAAATAATAATGACCCAGCATTAGGCCATATACCTGGAGAACGTTTCGTTTTTGTCTTTCTCCAACGTGTACATGTAGCTTTAATTCTTCCGTGGTTATACCGTTTATGGGAGGAATATTTTGTAGCATAAGGTTAAATTGGGAAAGAGTTCGATAGCTGTTCCGTGTCAAGACATATGTAATAAACGGACTGAGCGATAAGATACTACATGTACCAATGGGCTCTTCCAAAACTTTGGCAGCAGTTTAGATGTCTTGACATGGAAGAGCCATTGAGACGATGAGGGGTCAAGTGACATGATGTTCAACAACCTTATTTTAAAGATGGTGACTGTGAGAGCGAGCCCGTGAGATTGAATGGATCAAGGCAAAAAGACTGGAAAATACCAGAACAACATGAGTGAAATCATTCAATGAATGGTACTAAGAAAGTGGAGAGGCTCAGGATCATCCCTGTGTGCAAGAGAAATTGCACCCATGATGATGAGTGGGTGCACCGAAAATTTCAGTACGCCGACACGAAATTGCGTATACGGATGTGTGGCTAAGGATGGATGGGAGGGAGAGTCCGTGCTACACTAGTGGGGCTAGAGAAATGTCAGAAAATAATTGTTCCATTGTCTCAACAGCACCATGGAGTAGGCCTGGGCCTTATTGCATACACCACCACAGGCACACATCCCCTAAAAATTCAATAGCTACGTGTCAATCGAATGATGAAGCCCATTTACAATGCAGTGGAATTTGTCAAGCTCCCGGGGAAGGGGATACAGAGGGCGCTATTTTCCCTTAAGTAATGTTCCTTGCAGTGTCAAAGCATGTGGCTGTGTATATGTAGAGCATTTCAGTCATATTTTGAGAACGAAACATGCACTGTCCGAGGTACACATGAACAGTACTCGCTGAACCCTCAGCCAAACACCAAAGGCGTAGTGTCAGGACCACTCGCTGTTGATCACTTCGCCCAATTACGGTACCACTTCGCACATTTGCCACTTAACATTTTACAAAATCAAGATTTAGACACACAAAAGCATGTTCAAAGCATGGTTTCTGTTACAACGCTGCGAAGTTTTGCTGTAGTGTGGAGTGAGACCTCCCGAAGACGACACTAATTCTGTGAAAGAAATCACTTAAATATTTCTGAAGTTGTTGACAATTTCAGGTCAGTTGTTGGATCATCAAGCTTGGGAATGTACTTTATGTTCTTGCAGGAGTCGCTCAGGCTCCTGGCCATTTGATGCGGTTCTCGTAATGTGCGTCGCGCCCGCCTTTGGCTTTGCATCGCCATCGGCCTTAACATCAAAGAAAACCTGGACAGTCTCAAAATACACTATTTATACATGTATCTTAGTTTTACTGTGTAATCTTTCATCCTTTCTGGCATTCAGGATGAATTCTGGAGGGCTTGGGATTTTTCATTGTTTTTCTGTATCTTCCTCTCCTTTCAATGTTGACAAAAGCTGTGGGAGAAATGACCCGTGAGAATTACTCAATTTCCATATAATCATTCAGTAAACACATCTTGTATTTATGTTTGAACAATGATGGATTGGTTATATGTTTTAATGACAGATCTAGTGAGTTCCACAACTTGGGATCCTCATGCTGTACTGTTTTAATTGCAAGTTTGGTGAATACAGACATGACAGAGGACCGATAAAATTTGCTTCATTGTCTTGTAAAATGACAATGGATTTTATAATTTTTTTCAACATTGAACTTACACATACGTAAGTACGTTTAGTATTATTGATATTGGTCTATTAAAAAAATGCTCCTTGAAGCCTGCTGACATTTAAAAGTTAACAAATAGATTAAAATACTATGAATAGTATGAGGTTGGGGCACAATTTGTGATGGTGTCCATTGTTACGTGGGTTCCATAAAAATGAGCAGTTATTTCCCTGCATGCGGATTCCAAATTGACATTGTTATACATCTTGCAAGGCTGAATACAGAGGTGTGCTTGTTATTTTTACAGAGTAAATGACGTACTCTACAGGTCATGACAGGTGGTTAAAAGTTACTCGTGTAACAAGGACACCGTCACAAATTGTGCCTAAGCCTCATGGAATGACCCACAAAACACATAAAGAGATGGAGCTTTGAGAAAAAGGAAAGGCACAATATCTTTATTTTTATCTCATTCAAGCAGGTTTGAAGACGCCAGCATGGCCGAAGCATCGACCCCTCCTGAAACCACGGCCGATGATAGCCTTGCCCCCGCCGGCACCGCGAGGGACTTTGAGCCATTGGTCTTGGACATGAAGAGTGCCTCCAGAGACAACTCCAACCTGCAAAGCAACAGCCCAGGTGAGTCATCTCAGAGAGACTTGTCCAACTAAAGCCTGGTTTCCATATCAATGTAAGAAATGCAGAGAGCAGTGCAGTCAAGACGCAAACTGCAGCGCAGACAAAATGAAAACATGTCAAACGGAAGTATCGCCAGTATTCCAGAGATACGCAAACCAGCCCCAGACCAATCGGCAAAGTTGAGCCCAGTTCAACTTTGCGGACTGTCTGCGCCGAGTCACTGAGTAGGCATGTATACAAACACGCATGCTGGCAAGACGGGAGTACAACGATGTTCCTCTCCCTTAAATGTACACATAGTACCACTCATTTTGTCCCTATTCTCCTTATTACTAACAATATGCAGCCTCAATCGTCAACTAAACACATGTAGCTGACCATTAACAAATTGCATCAAACTGGTGTATCAGTTTCGCTTCAAGAGACGACGCTATCACCTAAAAAAAGCATTTGGGACAAAAAACTTTCAGAGTTTCGGACCCCATATTGTTAAATTTTTTGGGTGGATTGGCGTCATGCAGCGTCTCTTCCACAACTGTCTGCATCTTGCTGTCTTGCATACCGTCAGGGTTCATTATGACTATATGGAAACCAGGCTTTACATGTACTTGTACTTTCTATTCAACTATCAAACTCTTGTTTCAGAGTTTTCCCTGTGTGACACAGACTTATTCCTTGTGCATCAGCTGGGAAAAAATTCCACATACGAACGGCACATATTTTTCCGCACAGTTACATGTATCTACATTGTACCTGTATTAACTATTTAAAAGCAACATACATTTATAACCTCAAAAACAAAGTATATGGCAGGTTCCTCAAAATATGGACCATCAGATAATGTTCAACTTTGGGGGTTCATTTTTCCTGAAGTGAGCAGCAGTGAATCAATTTCCAATGTTTGATGTAATGAGGGAAGTCATGGCTGATATCTGGAACAATTATGACCGTGTCAACCTTTCAACTTCGTTGGAGTTAATTAATTAAAGTCTCGAACGTTAGCAATTTTGAGGGACATGAACTCCCTGTTAAAATCCGAGCCAATAGAATTTACTGAGGAGCGATAATCCCTGAGGTTATTTTAAACATATGTGTATGTGGTGAAAGGTGATAACATTTACACATATCAAAACCATAATCACGAAATTAAAAAGTACCTTTCACAATTAATCGGGTCCCGAAGTCAGCAGTTGCGAATGTCATTCGATTCTGTAATTAGTGTCAAAAAATCGCTCGCAAAAAAGCGAGTAAAATCCATATATCAATGTACAACACAAGCTTTAAAAAAGAGTGCACAAAAGCACCGCCAAACCATCATCCTTTTACGACTGGACCGATCACATTTCCTTCAAGTATGTTCCCAAAAACTGCAGTCCAAAATACCGATCGTGGCGATTTTGCGGCTTCCATCAATCTCTCGCCGTGACGTTAGAGAAACATTTCGCTGCATCGTGGCCTGTTTGACCTTTGACATCAACCCAGATAGTGCGCCCCAGATTGTGAGCCTCTCCACGAAATGGCAACGCTCCACAATTTTTCTCTTCGGAATAATTTTTCTCAAAAGAAAATCTGTCATTCTGAATGACGTTCGCAAAAAATGACATTCGAGGCATAAAATATGATTCATGATGAAAATCTAATTATGCTCAGAGTTGTTAATTTTAATTTCATTATCAGCGGAGTTATCTCCAAAATAACTGGCAAAATGAAAAGCGTGCATGGAATTTTTTAGCACTACATGTGACAGCATTTTTGGCATTCTCGAACGTCATCAAAATTCTGTCAAATATGACGTTCGCAACGAACATATTGTACTCAATTTAAATTTTGGATGCATCCAAACTTAAATATAATTTTTGGTGGTCGAAAGATACCAGACCTAGCAAATATGTCAGTATAGCGGGAGTGGTTATAAACGGTAAGAGAATGAAGAGAGCCAAACTTTTCCGATCATTTTCTGTCAATTTTGTGCTCTTTTTTCGTGGCTTATATTTTTTAAAAATTATTTCTCAGGTGCTTTAAAATACCCGGTACATCAGTCGAAAAATATACTGAATTCTCCTTCTTGTTGAGAGAAGGTTTGAAATCAAGTCCTCTGGTGTAAACACTTCAACGTAAAACTTTAAATGAATTCAACTCCATTTGATTTGCACTGGTAGCCAACCAAATGTCCACCATAAGTACATACATGTATTATGCCTAATTATCCCCACATAATCATTTTTATAAATCTGAAGGTGCTAATTTGTATTTTACTTGATCAAAGTCACTCTTTTCGAAGTTTTGAAAAATGACATCTGGAGTTGCATTTTGGTCCAGTTTATGAAGAACATGCCATATCTTGAAATAGTTTGCAGTACATGTACCTGCTGCTACATGTACATCTGACTCAGACCAGTCAGCCGACCCTGGCAAGCTCAGGGGTCGAGTGGTTGATAAGACGTCCGCGCCAGTAAGCAGGAGGTCGTGGGTTGGCTCATAAAACTTACACAAGTCACCGGCACATTTCAATTTTTTGCTTTTTTACACAAGGCAACTTGGCAATTCCCTAAACCTTCGGCACTCCAAATTTTGCCAGCATTTTCGGTGTGGCCTTTTAAATCTCCTGCCGTGGGAACGTGAAAGGTCCAAAGCAACGGAACGACATGTTATAGTGTGCCAAACGTACATGTACCTGTACACTGGTAAAACTGCACTAGTGTGCACATTCATTGTACATGCGTAGGTTACAATCTATAAGCTTGTTTTAGATGCATGTACACTGTATATACATGTATGTGTACCGTATGTACATGTAAGCATGCAAAAGACCCCCTCCCCCAAGGAAGTTGTTTAAGGATTTGCTGAAAAAAGGGTAAAAAATGAAGCGGAGTGCAATCTCATGTACAAAGTTGTAGGAATTTGAACCTTGAGAAAAGAGCTCTATTTTCATGATTTTGCAATTCGGTGGAAGTACGGTATTATAATTTTTTGTCGCCTTATTTGGAAGAACAGGTTCATAGTTTTATTAGTTTAAATGTCACAAAATGAAGGCCGACTTTGTAGCCTTCGCATACATGTACCAGAGATTGCACCGCCAAATATGACACAGAAATGAGGAGATGGTAAAATACATCTAATAAGCTTCAATTTGACGTGCGTCGACCCCAGTCAGTTTTAAATTGAAGAACTAAATTTATAGCATGAAGCTGTTCAGTTTGGTTGTTGGCTAGACTGCCCTCTAGCGATTCATTCATTCATCAGTTGGGAAGAGTTGCCCACAACCACAGGGATCAGGAGATTGTTGACATTGCAAGTTCCAGGACCCTGGATATTTGTAAAGCGAGAAGGTCAACCATTCCCCTCCGGGTCAACACACTCAAGTGCCATTGTCAGTGTATTTTGAGCATTGCCTGACATATTGCACGGTGTGTTATCACAGAGGCAGGAAACGGCAGACTGGGCACCGTGTCTGCTGGTTGTTTTTGGCTGTGCATTGTGCAATCAGCACCATGCTTGTTGCAACTCGTTTCCTGGATTTAATCCTGCCGACATACAGTGTACATACATGTACATGTAGTTTCCTCATATACTATTTGCTTACATGTACCTGTGGACAACATTGAAGTCCAAACTTCTCTCCAGGAAGTACCGTACAGCACTTATAAAGTAGCGGTATTGTTGTCGTGCCATTCACTGAGCTTTGCACAGATTTTAAGGGACCTCTTGCATTGGTAGGTACATGTACATGTACTTGTGTAAATGTTCATTTATGTAAAAACTGGTTATTTCCAGTGAGCATGAACAGGTTATGTGCTAGTACATGTGTGCTGATAATATTTTTGGTTTTGAAATCTCAGTAGGAATGTGTCAAGAGTCCTTTTGATTTAGATTTTATTTTTTTTGTCCAAATTCCCTCTTTGCACTGGTACACATGTACATTTACCGGTACATATACATGTACTGTATATATTTACAGACCTTTTTACAAAGTAGAAAATTTAAAAAATACATGTACTGTATGAAAATACATGCTTAAAGACTTCAGTAAGAATTAAGATTCCAGGTTACGTACAGTAGGCAAAGGATTATAACGAGTCAATTTAAACACCCTCCATGGTGATGTCCTAACTCAAATTTGACTTTAAAGATGCTGTACTGTACATGTACCAAAAAGCATGGGTACTTTACATGCACATGTAGGGAAAACAGTGATATCAGACTGTGGATACGAATTTGTTTGTTGTCCGCTTATAATCATAATACAGGTGGTCTGGTTCCATGACACAACAGCATGTGTCTGCAAATTGTCTGTACAATCCAACCCTGGAGGAGAAAAAAAGCCGAGTCGCCTCGGCAATTCCAATATGTCAGTCTGACCAGAGACAAGCTATATACATGTATTTTTTTTGTGGCCTTAATTTAATTAAGCTGAAATTTTATTTTCCTTTCTTTGGTACACTGTAGGCCTACTTCAAGGATTTTTAATGAATTTCTCCAGACAAATCTGCACTGGGTTACACGGGAGGTGGTGTACGCCTGCATGTCCCAGTACTCTGTATTTGTAGAATTCTGCCGGGAATGACCCATTTATTGTTTCAGTTTTAAATTTACAATTCCCGTCGTCCACTCGTAACGTCCTTCTCAAACACACTTTGGCTGAAGACTGAGACAGTTACAATTGGTTTGAAAAGATTTTTTTTTCCATTCTTAATTGCATACCTTCTAAAAGGAAGCCTCATTTATCACGAAGTGGATTGCTGTTTAACCCTAACCCCCCAAGGTTTGCTGGCCCTAACCTTCCCCATTCACACAAAGTTAAACACCCAGATGGAACTTTGTGCACAGAGGCTGTTGAACTTTGTTTTTCTGAGGTATGCCAAACCCAATGCAAAAAGCCAGCTGTTATGGGCCTACGAGACCTATCCCCACAGAATTAAACACTTTACTACTGTTTAATTCTGTGTGGTCGGGGAAGGTGAGGGTTGATAGTTGTCAACAGAAATTGTAACACAGTGCATCGGACAATCACTTGATAACTCAGTGACGTGTGTGGGTCTACACCTCACTAGGGTCGGGTGTTGTAATATTGAAGGCATGTGTACTTTTATGTACTTTTAATGTACATGTTATTTTTGTTTCAGATTTTATGTACATTTACCGGTACACTGTGTATGAAAATCTATGGCCTTTTTTATGTGAAGGGAACTTCCAATGTATTCAAAAGGATCACTTGGGGTCAGTAGATTGTCTGGATGTCTCTTCAGGGCCACCATAAACAATCTGTGTTATATGCAGGTGCCATTGTTGAGGTCGAGGTCATCTATAAAAAACAGGCAGGCCATCCCTTCATTGCTGAGGCCATGGACCTACTGGTACAGTGACCTATTCTCACCTACCACCCACAGACAGACCACATGTACCAGTACATGTACATATGTACAGTACTGTAGTTGGGACGAGAGCATCTGGGAACTGTCCTGTGAATGTTGAGGCACACATGTACCTAACCCTACTACCACTGCCGACAAGTACAGTACGGATATGTAAATTTATTCTCTTGATAAGTCTGAAACCTTGAACAAATGTACAGGTACCCGGTACTCAGTACATGTATATAACAGGGGTTAACGTACATGTATGGTGCTATTGTCTGGTACCAGGAAGGGCATTACATATGTAGCATATGCAGATGGAATGAGGATTAAACCCGTCAACACAGTTTTGCAGAGGAGTGCCAGAGGAAGTTAACTGCATCTGATCAAGGTTTGGACTGCTGTACTGAAGAACATACATGTACACATATGCACTCAGAAAGAACTGTTGGTTGGTACTGTGCAGTGCTGTACGTATGCGTTTATTTTGTACAAATCCAGTGTCATTGATCCATCAAATGAGTTCCATGTATACTACCCCTACAATGTACATGTACATAGTCATGCCTGCTACATGTACTTTACATGTACCTGTATGTTGTGCATGATACGACATGCCACAGACTTGACGACTGGTAAGTGTGTATCAATGCACAGGTACCGGCACGTGTGCATATGTACATGTACCATGAGATTACTGGTTCATGCATAGGGTAGTGGTAGCTAGTCCTGTCAAATGTAGGGATTGCAATTATCACCGTTCCAGCCTTGACTAGTCATATTGCAGTTCAGTCCACTCTGCATTATGTCACAGTCACACGTGTACCGTACAATGTACCGGGTTCATAATGTATGTACATGTACGATGTAATCGTATGTGATTGATATGCAGTGCTGTACATTAAGTAGTATTAGGTACATGTAAGTGCTGTACATGTACACAGTACAATATTTTTGTGTACACATATGTATACCGGTACAATATTTTTGTGTACACATATGTACCGGTACAATATTTTTGTGTACACATATATACTGGTACAATATTTTTGTGTAGAATATTTTTGTGTACACATACATGTATCCGGTACACCGGTACAATATTTTTGTGTACACATATACATGTACATGTATATATACACCAGTGCAATATTTTTGTGTACACATATATACCGGTACAATATTTTTGTGTACACATTTATATACCGGCACAATATTTTTGTGTATGTATACCCATACACGTATATATACCGGTACACTGTACATGTACATACTGTACATGTATACATATACATGTACATGTACAGTATGTACTCATACGTGTAAGCACATGGACCTGTACATGTGCATGTACCAGCATTGTTAGTTTTTATGCACACTACACTGTACTGTACCGGTACATGTACTGAACAGAATGAACATACGTTGTACAACAGCTGAGGTGCAGATCGCATCTCACCTGGAGACTGTCCCTAAATTTGGAGAAGTCCCTTTATTGGAGACTGAACCTCCCAAAAGAGAGATTGTCCTCTTTTATTGTTTTTCAAGTGGGCTTGTGGAGATCCTGGCATTGTCCTGGGGATCCTTAGCATTGCCATTGATTGGATACAGCGGAAAAAACACCCAAGGCTGCTGTTGGACAGAAAGGGTTGGAAAAAGATTATATGAGACTGATTTTTCTGAATATCAGTCCTTTACAATAATAGTTAATGGCCCGACATGGTGCAGAGTTCATAAAAAACAACTCAAATACATTATGAAGGGAAAATAGGGGAGAAAAAAAATTGATAACAGCAAGCGGATTATTTTGACCCCAGCCCATTCGGGATAAAACGTTTCTCATTTTAAGGCAATATTCTGTCTTTCAGGGAACTGATTTTGTCTTCAAATAAAGGGACTTCTCCAAATTTACCAGTAGGGGCAGTCTCCAAGTTGTGATGTGCACCTCTAGTACTATAAAACTTCATGGATCACATACATTGACAGCATTTTGTTTTAAGTTTGGTCTGCTTTCAATTTCTGAGTGCATTGTACATGTATATGTACATGCATGTATTGTACCTAGCATGGATACATGTACATGTATTTGTTCATTCAGTATACGTGCGGTATGCACATACACAAAATATAGTTCTTAACATGTGGACCTTATTATAAACTTCACGTACCGTACGTGTATCTTTTATTATGCTGGATCGGGGCCAAACTCAATGAAATGCCAGTCGTTAATCAAATTCTGAGCAAGTGAATCATCCTTAGGACTGCTTTTGTGCCGACAGGGAATGGTAACCTTCTGAGCAATAAGGTGCATACATGTGTAGGCCTACATTCCCACGGCAGCGCTTATTCCAGACCTTTAGTAAGAAATAGTTAGCAGGATACATGTACATTGTACCTGTACATGTACATTTCACATACATGGTAATTTTCCATATCTCAGCAAACCCGGCTTGTACTGAACATGTATGCATACATGTATGTACATGTACTGTACCACTACCTGTAAAGCCGCTCTATCATTACTGGAGGACAAGAAAACAACTCCACCACCCGGACCATTTAACCGTTTGCATGTACATGTACATGTACATGTACATGTGAGTATACATGTACATTGTGTCAAATTATTTTGCCATTTTGGTTGTCAGCTCAAAAGTCAATAACTGATGAAGAAGAAGTGAAAAATTTTATAACAAAATGGAAAGGCCTACTGTACCTGTACATGTATGTAAGGTTTGGCGACCCCTGAACTGTTTGAGCATGTGGGGAACCAGCATAATACATGTACGTGGTACGAAAGTATAGTGCGCCTTTGTACATATACATGCACATTCATGTATCACACAGTTCACAGTGGTTTAACCATGGTTTGACATAGTACTGTTGACACTGGCTGACTGCCCTGTTTTTAATTCCTTAAATTATTTGCCCTAATCCGTAATGTCAACACCAGGGTCTCAGTGCTCAATAGAAAAATTCAGTGACAAAGTTCCCCCCCCCCTAGATAAAGATAAATGGGATGAATGGGCAACCTCTGGTCCCCTTATGTCATCCTTGCAAAACACATTGTGCAATCATCGCGACGAAAACTGCACGCACTGTACAAGTACTGATAGTCTTAATCTTACGCCGGGCGTGCAAATGTTGCATGGTACCTATTGGATATGATGTCCTTGTTGTAGCAGTTTAATTTGTGTCTTCAGGAAATACATGTACACATGTACAGTGTTTTTGTGGCTTCAGTACTGTACTAGTAAATGTACCGTACATGTACATGACTTAAGACTTGAACTTTTCAGCATTATTTTCACTGTTACACTTACTCGTACATGAAGCTGCTGACAGTGATTGATTTGGGGAACTGGACAGTGGTAAGACGTACTCTACATGTACATGTACATGTACGTACACATACAGTACATGTACATGGATATTTATATGTATAAAATGTGGCATACATTGTACAATAGATTCATACACAGTACTGGTACCATGTATATGTGGGATGTGACGTACCATTTCAAAACCAGACTGAAGGCTTCGTGGCCATCATCTGGAAAATGACACCACTTTGAACATGGCCTTTGCAAATGTCACAATTTTCTCTGCCTTAAACTATCCAGTATGGTACGAAGACCCCCTGCAGACAAAATCCAGGGGGGAGGGAGTTGACCCAATTCGGATCTTCGCCTAAAACATGAAACGTTACCCTCATGGAAAGGCTCCTTGGAAAAGAATAAACTATTACGGTTTATATGTTAAATTAAAGAACAAGAAAAATTTACTTTCTTTTTTATTTGTCTGATAGACAAGAGCCCGACCAAGATCGCCCCGTTCTCCCCGACGCGTCACATCAAGCCCTTCCCAAAGCACACGCCCACCACCATGGACGAGACTTATGCTGAGCTGGCCAAGAAGGTCTTCCGCAACAGCCGTTACGACGAGTCGCGCTGCCCCAACTACGAGTTCCCTGACGAGATCCCTATCGAGAGCGAGCAGGAGAAGAAGAAAGGGGTGGAGAAGCAGATCAGCTATGCCAGGTAACGACGGCTTGAACGGAGGCCAAGGGATGGTGTTAGGATTGTGATTAGGATGTCCAATCTTTTCTTTGACCAATTGTACAGGAGTAACCAGAGCTGGGGCTTCTCAGAATTTGTTCTTTATGAAAGGAATTTGTTATAAGAGTGTTCTTTATAGTGAGAGTCAACATTAAGACTATTTCAAGCCTATAGTACTCTGTTAAGTGGAGAAAACGGTCGTGAACCTTGTAACATTGCTTTGAGTGTCCTGAGCCAATCTACACCTACAGGGTTTGTTCTTACAAATCTCCAATTTCCCTGGCATAAAAGTGCCACGTTTGGATGGGACATCAGTCCATTTCAGGATACTCCTGTGAAATTCCTGCACGCTGTATAGCGATAGTCGTGCTACAGGAAACTTGATGGATCAAGAGAAGCAGATAATGTTGAGTAAAGTGGCTTGCTTAGGGACATACATGTACCTGTATAAATGAACCTATTGTGCATGGTCAGCTATTTAATTTAACCTACTGACTCTATTCAAATAAATGTTTACCACCAAGCCATGCTTCCCCATATCACGGATTCCGCCTGACAAAAGATCATGTTTGATTAACTGGTACACAATACAGAGAGAAGTGGAGGTAAACTGCCTTGCCTAAGAACAGATCATTAGGCTACCAGTAGCTACCAGTATCCACCTTGAGCAGATAGAAGCACCAGCTTATTGGTTGACAAGACCCATGCTGGTGGGGAGTGTTCATTTTTATTGGTAGCTGCTTGCGTGCGTCTCGTAGTCCTCAAACTAGCTAAGAGCAGTTCCCACTTAAGGAGCCCCTAGAGGCTCCCGTTGCTAGAAAAATCACGCCCTCTCTTGGTGCGCCACTCAGGGCCCAGTGGACTTGAACTCGTGTCCCTCAATACAAGTACGTGTACACTAAGCACAACCATCCCGGTTCCTCTTATCGCATTTTAACCCTAACAGCCCTGAATCCTCCAACTTTAATATGATTTTGCACACACCCTAGGGAGTTAGGGATAAAGTACTCTGCACATGTTGCTACCGGTAGCATACGTACAACTGTACTAGTACTGCCTTGATGCTTAGAGTCACTAGGGGCAAAACGCCTTGCCTAGGGACACAACACATTGCGACTGGTAGTTGCTATCAGTAGAACCCCCACCCCGTCATCCATTTTTCCACCTGACCATAAAATATTTCCCACGTCACAAGACATTCCATGGTTATTGTGCACATTACATGTACATGTATTCATATGTATTGGTGCTGTGCATACAGTACAATGTACATGTATGCATGCATATTCAAACATGCAAATGCTCATAATTTACATTGCAGTTGATACATGTACATGTATGCACCGGTACCATACATGTACATGTGTAGTTAACCTGTCATGCCTCTGAAGCGGAAGTTCTCTTCACATTTTCTTCTTTCGAGGGAATCCATTTTTTTCATTTGACAAAACATGAAAACCTCTTTCCACCATGCCAAGATTTCATGAGTGGGAAAAGATTTTCACAGATTTTCCCACAAGAGGGAAAAGATTTTCACAGATTTTCCCACAAGAGGGAAAAGATTTTCACAGATTTTCCCACAAGAGGGAAAAGATTTTCACAGATTTTCCCACAAGAGGGAAAAGATTTTCACAGATTTTCCCACAAGAGGGAAAAGATTTTCACAGATTTTCCCACAAGCAAGAAAACATTCTCATTCTTTTCACCCAAGTGGCAATTTATTTTCACGTCTTGTGACACATGAGTGTGAATGTAAATGCAAATCCTTTTCAGAAAATTTCCCATTCAAGTTCACCATATTAACTTTCAGTTGTAAGCTTCTGGCAAGGCGGTTTAACATGATACATGTACATGTACTTGTATGTGAAGATTTTGAGCAAATACATGTACATGTATGGGAAAGATTGGAACTGGATGGACCTTTACCCCAAAATGCATAAAATGAATTGAATAAACTGTCACAGAATTTCCACCCCTCCTTAGAAATACAAAAAAAAAAACCATGCACATGTAATATGCTGTATAAGGTTGTATGGGAGTTATTTATTAAGAGAGGCTTGCCGTTGTGCATGGATACTGCAGCAGTGGCTCATTCGCCATTTTCGCCTTCGAAGTTAATGTGCTGCCTTGCCTTGGATTATGACGGAATCCCACGATTGGTCGCTGGATGTCACTTCAGCTGTACCGGTACTGTCCGTGTACTTGACCAGAATGTATGTGTATACCCCACGCAGTGAACATAATTAAAGGTAAAGGTCCATCGAAGCCCCCTAAGTCACAATTAAGACGCTGCAGGGTTTGAGTTTGCCTTGGAAGGATAATTGTACAGTTTCAGTCCCCCCGACCCCCCGGATGACATGCACGGGGTACAGTAGTACCGTACATGTACATGTTCTTCCTGTCCAAGAAATGTGCACAGCTTACATACATCTCGCACATTTGCCGAGTCATTCCAACTTCATGTTTGGTGCAGAAAGGGTGGTTTTTATACCTGATGTACAGGTATACAAATGGATGCTTCTATTAGCCATTGAATGGAGACTGCATGCCCCCAGCTTGGTACATGTATAGTGCCCACATGCACAGAAATCGTCCATTTTCAGGTCCTCCATTCCAGCCTCTGGTAAGTTGGACTTTGTGTAGATTTATACATGTTCCGGTATGCTGGAGAGCAACCTGCCTGGACTGGCACTCCATCTATAAAGAGGACGTCAAAGAATATTGGTACATTGGCTACATGTACGTAGGTGCACCCAACTGGCTGGAAGCAAAGTCTTGCTTTCTTTCTTGGCGAGTGAAGTTGGCGTGGTGGTTCTTTCCTCGCCTTCCACCTCCGCGGTCCGGGTTCAAATCCTGACTCAGTCCACATGTGGATTGGGTTATTAGTCCCTACCTGATTCCGTGGGTTTTAACCAAAACATTCCTCTGGGGTTTTCCTGTAACCTCTAAAACTGTAACTGGTTCTTGTAGTCTCCTCTCAACAGTTTTCTTCAGGCTTGTGAGCTACACTTACATGTACAACACCTAGGCCACTTTTGAGGAATCTTTGGTGTCATTACCGGAAATAAATAATAATAATAACGATAATGATAATAATAATTTGTCGAGGTTTTTACTCTTACTGGGACAGTCGTGAAGAACCTGAAAGCTTGTTTAAAGGTTGAGATGTTCACAGAAACAAAGTTGACATTTTCACCTTTCAAAGCAATGAAATCCGATAAATTGGCCTGGGCCAACAAACGACTCATTTTGCTTGGTCGCATCACCTTCATTGCCTTTTTTGATACACTCACAACTGCTTACAGACCATGCAAGTTAGTAACGTTATATTCTGACAATTTACAACGAGTGGTAGTTCACCAATCAGGTGAGAAGGATTCGTCTACTGAGGTGTTTGTTTTTGTAACCATATTAGACTCCGCCCATTTTTCTTTTTGAATTCGATGATTTGCTGCTGCCCTGCCTTGCTGTCGGAGAGCTGGTGAGACAAAAATTCCACAGGCTTGCTTGGATGGGACTTTAACTGGTCGGGCCCATTACCGGTTCATGGCTCTTCACCCACAAAGCTTGCCAACCATGCATTGACTTGAACCCCAAGAAAGATACGTGCCCTTGATGAGACCTACATGTACAAGTTCATGTTCACTCGGTCAGCAAGATCTGGAAAGATGCTGACCGGTCACAATGCTGTAGGGCCAATTTCATAGAGCTGCTTAAGCACAGAATTTGCTTAAGCGCAAAAAGCCCTGCTTAAAAAACAAAGGTTACCAGCTCAAAATCTATGTGATTGTCATGCTAATCAAAAGACCAGTAAAGACCATTCCAAAACAGCATACCAGGTACATCACATGGAGTTTTGGCTGGTAACCTGATTTGTCAAGCAAGGTTTTTTCACGCTTAAGCAAATTTTGTGCGTAAGCAGCTCAATGAAATTGGCCCATGGTGGTAGTGGTTGCCCAGAGTATGCTCTCAATGAGGCAAGATGTGATGTGACGTGCTGTGATGTGATGCACAGTTGCTCAGTCTTGTTAACGTTTGTCAAAAGCTCTCCCACGGCAAACATTGCTTATTTGAATTACGAAAAAATTCCAGCAGAAAACAAAATCCAGTGTAAACTTACTTTTGCATTTCATTGCAGGATTCTGTCTTCAGGCATCTTGGAATACATGTACTTAACTTAAAAAAAAAAGCTACTTGATTTTTTCCCGTTCCTTCTAACAGTGGCTTTTATCTTTCAGGAAGTTACAGTTATGAGTGTGTTGTGCTAACCCTGTGTAAATATTCTCTATTCTCTCTCTGTTTTTTCTCTTCTCTGCCCCTCCAAATTATCCAACCCTCCCCTCCCCTGCTCACATAACGGCTTTACCCATCTTGACCTTTTCATCGGGTGACCTTCTTGTGTGTGCGTTTGTCGCGTGCCTCGGTACCACGCGTGTGTAGCGCCAAAAAGCATCATCACCAGCAGGGCGATAAATTAGCCCATTTGAACCATCTCCATGACAACACTTTGAGCGCCAGAGAGGCCAGCGAGTGAGTGACTTCTATTTTTGGAACATGAATGTACATGTAGTGTGAAGTGTGGTGCTGTTCTGTTGTTTGTTGTTGATGTTGTCGAAGCGCCCTCTGTTGACATCATTCAGAAGTACCGGTCCTGGCAGCTGTCGAGAATGAAATAGCCCGACAGTATGTACTGATGACATACGGCCGAGCATTGTGGGATAGAATAGGGGTGATATAATATGGGCGATTCACAATAGTGGGCCACCAAGAGTTTGCAAGCATAACGCGCGAAATTTGTCGAGCCTTTCGAAACGCACATTGAGTCGACAAATTTGGCGCATTGTGATTGGCCAACACGTTGCAAACTCTTGGTGGCGCACTTTTGTGAAACGGCCGTATTGAGTTTGGGCCCCTTACAGAAAAAAGGGCTAGCTTCTTGGCATGTTTCTGTGCATAGTGCTTTCATTATCTTCTTTGAAATTAAACTCCGAAGGTGAAATGTACCTTTTGTCATTGCAGTTAGGGCTAGTGATCAGACAGGAAAGTGGCACATTCTCAATTTCGATTGCTCGTGTTTATTGAGGCATACGTTGTGCATCTCTGGATAGCCAAATGAAATCAGAATTTAGGTACACAGATAAGGGCATCATCAAGCCAAGAGTGTCCTTTTTGTAACCACTTAAGGTACAAATACCGAGAAAATATTGCTGATCTGTAGTTCATCTGACACCCATCTTCCCCTTTCGTTGCACGAGCCCTTTCACTGCACAGATACCGGAACATGTATGCTGCCCAGAGTTTGTCACAGAACTGAGGCCAATGAATGTTGCATTGGTCAGTGTTGGGCAAGTTCAATTAAGGACCATAGTTAACCATGGTTAGACCAACTTTGATCGAACGCACACCAGTCGACGGTGGTTGAACTACGGTAGTCTAGATGCCAATTCAGGACTAGCCAACTGAGTTGGTCATGCCGTTGGTTGCCATAGCAGTTCAGTAGCATAGTGCAGAGAGGACCAGTTCTAAGAAAAATGGCAGAAAAACAGTATGCCAGTAATAAACAATCCTTTTCACAGTTTTTTATTATTTGGCCCTTGCTTCTCCCCACCAGCCTAAATGACCTGGTAACGGTTGACTAGAAATGTTCATGTTTCAACTTGGATGCACATGCACTAGGTGCGTCACGAACCAACCACACATTAACTACTGGTCCATGATCGAACTTGCTTGATTCATTGGGCAAGTTGCAAAGTTAAACCAAATGGTCTATGACATCAACTTTGTGCGATCACCCTACATGTACATGTACATGTATTTTTTTCTCATTTAGCTTTTATTTTACATGGAAGTTTAGTTAGAGCCTGAGCGTACTTGGACCTATAGTTTCTTTAAATGTTTGCATATTGTCGGTTGAGCATGCTGTACAATTCCTTTGTGTCTGCACATTTGCATATCATTTGCATATCTGTACATGTATCCCCCAAAACAGGTTTCCAAAATACTTGTAGCCCAATAAAGATGGCCAGCAGACACTACAGTGCTCCAGTACATGTATACATGTACATGTAATTGAAACCTTGACCCTGATCACGCATTGCCCAGAATGGCCTGTGTCTTATTTCTGAACAGAGCTACATGCAGGTTGTCACACAGCTTCTCCCAAGTTCTGTGTTACTCAACTGGAGATAGACCGGCACTTCACAGACAGTGTGACTGATGACTTGCGTTCACTGCATTCACATGCACAGCTACATGTATATTGTAGGTGATGCTTTGTACTTACATGTACCTGTAATGGTTGGCCAAACAGACTGCAGGGAAGGCAGCATTTGCAGGGCACCGAGCAACCAGTAACAACCCGAGGACAAGTCCTCACATTTATGTGTAATTCATGTACATACATACATGTATGTTTGATTCGTGTAAACAGAACAGGTCCTCACATTCATACATGTATGTGAGGACATGTCTACACAAGAATATGAGGACTGCCCTCTCTTCTTCTCACACAGAAATCAGAGAAAATAAAGAAGAAACACCTCATATCACATGAATACCGATATGAGGACCTGCTAAAAGATAATCTGATTTCGTCCCGGGACCATTAACCCTTATCACTGGATTTTTACATTGTCAGGACCAGGTCCCGCACCATTGACTATGATACCTGCCCCCTGGACAGTGAGGTTGACTCGATGACGAATGAAGTCACCAGTACTGATGATTCCACGGCAGTGTTTGAGTTGGAGTACCAGAGGGTGTCCATCAGCGGGGACGACAAGAGTGGGGTGAGCCTGTTAAAAAAGATTACCTCTTCAAATGGGTGGTGCTCACATGCATATACAGTATACATGCATGTGCATGGGTTTTTTTATTTTTGCCCCAAAGATTATCAAATTAGTATGCAAAATTGTAGTGGGAGTGTAAAAGTTGCGACTATCAGATTGCAAATTGCTAGTGGCAACTGGGAAATTCCGTGTGCGTGGAACGAGATTAAATAAATGAATAGACTCATTCCATTGCAATCCTCCTGAACATTCATAATTGGCAATACGAAAGTTTTCATTCCTTGAAAAAAATATCAAGTGCAACTAAAAGTTTGTTCCTGAGTTAGTACTAGGACATCATAATTAGGTTTCACGCTATGCTGTTATCTGGGTTATCTTGGGGTTGAAAAATTTAATTCAGAGGTTATCCGGGTAATTGTGAGTGTTCACACTGCACGTCTCGGGATTGAAACTTCCCTGGGTTACCTGCCTCACAATGCCACTTAAATGTAACCACGGACCATTTACCCAGGGATGCGCAACTTAAGCTCAGAGCTGGTTCAATGCGTGTTACGGCCGGCACAATATCACAGTAGAAATGGATTATGTAACACTTTCTCTAATAATAAAACATATATTCCTGTCTACCACCTTGTTTTCTTGTAATATTTTAAGTCAGGGTGCACCCTTTCTAAAAATATGCTGCTCAAGAGATTTCATCCTATACATTCTGAGAAAAGTGAACCACAAAATTGGGGAATTTTGCCTCATTAAAACTTCATTTCTGCTTGAAATCGATAAATGAAGAAGATTTATTCGTCAAAACAAATAGATTTCAGCGCCGCATCGGTGCATCGTCTCGGCATAATCACGGCTGCACTGTACATGCTGCAACGCCTGTCATGTGGTCTTTTTTCGAGAAAGTCGAAAGCGCCTGCAGGGGTAATAACAATCCGTAACAAGCATGGAACCAAGGTCGAACATGTGTTTGCACTGGGGCCGCTCGCGGTTGCACATCCCCGGGTAAATGGTTCGTGATGTAACTCAGGTAAATTACCCTGCACAGCAGGTTTGTTAACCGCCACCAATCTCAATTTCCCTGGGTTGCATGTACCTTCCATAGTGTGACTGCTCCCGGGTTTTCCTCAACCATGTCAACCCTGGGCTGTTCAGCACGGCCAGCGTAGCCTTGCCCGAGTGTCAGCTGGTGTTTTGTGGTGTTCGTAATAGGGTTACCTTTTTAACATGTGCTGTAATGGCAGACAGAGACACAGTGCATCACGGCCAATGACTTGTGCATCTCCAGGCTAAATGCCAGACACAAAGCCTTGACCGCATTTCCAAGTTGCCATTGGCTCCAACATTTTGGTTCACACACTGGACACGTAGACACCTGCTTTCACAATGAAATTGCCCAACTACCGGTATCATTACCAAATTTGAGTCCCCCCTCCTTCAGCTTTTGTTGGATCGTGTTCCCCTCTCTCAGGTGCCACCCCAGGACCTCTATGATGCCTCCAGGTCCCTCATCGATGCCTTGGTGATGCGGGAGAAATACATGAAGTTGGCCCTGCAGTCCTTTCCCCGCAAGGCGGCCTCTTTCCTGCGCCAGATTGACGGCAAGCCAATGGACAATGGCGACTCCGTCAGCCCTGTGCATGATGCAGAAAGTATGCTTTTACATATATACGTATCTCGTTGATTTTGTGATCTGTATAGTAATATGAAACTTGTAGGGTGCATGTACGGTATGGTTCTTGGTGGTGGCGAACGTACTGGTTCCATGTGACCGGTCCACTAGTGTTGAATGTGCCCACTTTAGCTCAAAACGTGATGTGAAAAACAATGGATTGATCATGCAGGATGGGTACGTCTGCTGCCACCAAGCATTTCAAAAGTCTCCCATTAACATTATTCATTGACAAATCCAGAAATCTTCGGAGTGGGTGGGTGGTGTCGGGCAGTACAGGAAGGGATGCGGCAAAGTTGGGTGGTGTAGGGTAACAGGCTGGCTCTTGCCACCGTTCCCAATGCCAGCAAGAACCTTGAGCGGCTAAAGGGTCCAAAATATTCAGTGCATTTTTTTGGTCTCAACATCGCATTATATGCGCATGTGTGGAACCGTGTATGTTTTTTGCTGCGTTCTGTCACTTAGGCCATGTCCGAAACGGGCTTCCAGAGCTATGGCTGGGTCTATTGTCTGCTCATCTCCATGCATTTCTAACAGAGTGAAGGTCTACCTAGACCTAGCTCTAAATAAGAGATTGGGATGCAGCCTTGTCATGTTTTGGAAGGATTATGAGCAAAATGGAGCCGTTGTGCGACTCTGAAGTCGGTTAATGCTCTGTGTGTTTGGCATATAGGGTGTTTAAATTCTCCAGATAAGGGGGTAAACATGGTAAAGGGTTTTGCAGTCCAAAGACACTGAGCTTGACATTCGGTGTACATGAACTGTAGTGATGTGCATTTTGCAAATATTTTTTTAGCTATCTGTGCATGAGCCCCTCAAAACCCCAAATACTTGAACATGCTCTATGCATGCCATGCTGCAAATGTAGAGGCTGGTCCCAAGTCGGCAAGGTCATTGCACAAGTTGTTGAACCACTTTTCAGTTCGGACTCAAAGGGGAGTCTGGGTGTTGTACATGTATGTAAACCTTGAGACCACGAAACCCCCGCTGTGCATGAGTGGACCTCTAAAGCAGCATCTTTAACGAGCACAATTGGTCAGTAACCAGTGTCAACCTGGCATGTTGTTAACTTCCATCATTGCTCTCCAGGACAGGGCCTTGCCCCTCCCCCCTAATTATTTGTAAAATTGTTGCCCTCTAGATGAGGGTTTCATCAACGTGGATTGAAATAGCTGCCTGTTCCTTCCCAGCCAAAGTTAATATCTTCCTGTTCTATCCTGGGAATATTTTTAAAAATTTGTAATCTTTGGTTCTACATACCGGTATATATCTGAGGCCATGTTTCCACGTTACTTAATTAAATATTTTGGAATGAAGTGGGAACATTTGTTCACAATACATGTGGTATTTAGGGTTTTTTCAGGGGGGTATGCATTTTTAATAAGCAAAAGCTGCCAGTCCAAACATTGTTTTTGCATGTCCTCGGGACATATGGCCAGATATACACTGCTATTTTTACATGTAGACTAAGCACACATATTTGCATGCCAAAGAACAGTCTTTGTGAAAAGCTTGACTGGCGAGGACCAGAATTAATCCTTTATTCTTTCGGGTGTCCTATAGTCCTGAATTGCTGTGCTTCAGAAGATGAGGCACATATGTTGAATTTTCAGTCTGTACTGAATCTTCGTAACCATTCTTTCTCTGCAGCTGATCTGCCAGTAAATCCATTTTGTCGATGTACAAACCTGAAAATAAGTTTGAAAGCACATTTGATATTTTGATTGATCAGCCGTAGAAGAGAGATGGTGCAGGAATCGACTGATCCAATTATATGCCATAACTGCAGCAGCGCCACACATTCCTCAGCTTGACGTGCATGTGCCTTTGGCAAGTCATGACACCCTATTGGTCAAAGAGGCGTGTAGCGCGCGCGCACCACCTGTCAACGAGCGTTGTGCCGTCGCAACAATGGCTTCTAATTCCAGCTGCTAAATTACATACATGTAGTAGATACAGTCCGATTCAACACGGTCCAAGGGTACCGGGTACGTGCGTCAGATGGAAACCTTTGACCTTTGACAATGTATACATGTACATGTACATGTGTGTATGCAAATGGAGTGTGCAACAATTGCACTGCACAGCTGGAGCAGAACATGTGCCCTTCCTGTGTTTATGGCCAATTAATCCTTCGCAGGAAACTTCTGTTTCTGTTATAAACAAAAGGGTGATATTCTTCCAAACAGATGTTTCCTGCCTCGTTTGCAGACCAAGTCAGAAGCCTTATCCATTGATATCAGTGTGTTGCTGGTTTGCCGTGTTTGCTATTACGCCCATATCCCTAATGTTACGAGATTGGATAATGAATTTGTTGGGCGGTAGTGCATGGCGTTATCGGTTTCTTATCGCTTGTTGCCCTAAACAGGTGAACCGGCAGAGAAGGATGATGATGATGATGATGATGAAGGGGTCGGCAGTATGTATTTTGATTGATCAGTTTGTCACACATTGATTGACTGATTCATTGATTGATCTGATCCATCGACTGATTGATCCAATTCATTGATTGATTATGACAAGGAGACCTGAGCTCGATGACTGAGTTTGACGGAAAACTGACAAGACTATCTGATGGTTTGGGTGACTCGGGGAGTGGGGGAGGTAGCGGCTTAACAAAAAGACAGCTTTCTCAAAAGCCAATCTACACGCCTTAACCCGAAAAAGCTGGGGAACCACACCCCCCCTCGTGCACATTTTCTCTGATATCACCACTGTGCATTTTTTCTTTATCATTCCAAGCCTTGGGGAGTTTTTTCATGGATTGCTTTCAGCCACATTTTGACTTCGGTCTTACGAGAGTTTGATTGATCGTGGGAAATGCCGATTTTGTTTTCCAGGTTGGCCAAAAATTTGAACTTCCCACTGATGTATACATGTACATGTACCTGCTCATAGAAACAACATGCTCACTTTTCATTTTGCCCAGTGTAAGCTTAAACTTACTACACGTACATTGTACATTGTACATGTACTGTACATTGTACATTATGTGTGTTTGTTTAGTTGCATGTTAACTACCAATGACCTCATCAATAACAGCGTACATCAGATTGAATTGAAGTTTCACAGATGGTACAGTGCTCACAATAGATGTCTCAACATGAACGTGGATGCTAAATTTAAAAAAAGAGTGGTCATTGCACATCTTAGATCATGGGTGGGGAGACAGAAATCTTGACTCCAACCGAACTTGGGATAGTCCAAAATAGACTGGATCCATAATACAACATCTCAGACTTGCCACATTGTGAAGTTGCTACTACAGTACTTGGTACCTGTGGCCTGCTGGTCATCCAGGGCCAATTTTTATGCTCACAAAGCCTTCGTCTATTTCGCAGACCGTTAGGCAATATGAAAGCACAGCAACAGGAAGGGTAACCCTATGGGCTTTGCTAGGATTTTCTCTGAAGTGTTGTACCAACTTTCTAAGTGGTTCTTTGAAATTTACATGTACATGTAGACCTAAAATAGGAAGCTTATGGGGGAGGAGGCGGCAGGGTGCTGGGGTGACACCTGTTGACTGATTCCATCTCACTCTCTCTCTTCCAACCACTTGCTTGACGCCGTACTGCTCTCACGAGTTGACAAGCTTTTTTCTGTCTGGTCACTGAATGACAATGCTAGGTGACTGACAGACTGATATGGAACTGTTTGCTGTGGATGTGAACTTACTAATACTTCTTGGTCAGAGGTTGATGTGTGGACTTCTATGCACTGCTTTCCTATAGCACCACAAACAACCATTGTGTTTAAATTTAGCAAGCCATCATAGATGCAGTACTCCTCATGTGATTTGAAGATTTGGCGTGTTCAGCAAAGGAAAAGATATTCCCTAAATCTTGGTCCAGGCTATTCCGTATCTTCATCGAGATTCCAGCTGTCAGTGTCCATTGTCACCAATTGACAAATATATTTGTCATGCCTCTGTCTTTGATGCTGTCTGTTCATTGGCCCAGAACAATCACATGGCTGGACGATATATCTGCATATCACATATGACAGTTGGCCTGTTATCTTCTGAAATTCAGAGCTCATTTCTTTGGATAAATTCCTCAGCCTCAACATAATTAAGACAGAGGTACCTGTGTGGCAAAACAAACGTTGGTTGCTGGGATGTGGGATATGACGTTTTGAACACCTGAGGAATGCATAGCACCCCGAGCCGGAGGGTGTTCAAAATGTCATATCCCACATCACAGCAGTCAACAATTGTTGAATGAAATTTGTCTATAACCAAGAGCAGCTGTTGAGAAGAAAGTTGTATTCATGGCACTGCGTAAAATACATGTACTGTGACTCCAAAATGTGCACCGAACAGATGGAACTTTGGCCAGTATTTAAATTTTGCCAGCTGGGATCCACTTATGTAATGAGTCACTTGCGAGTTAAATTTGAATAAAATCTGGTACACTGTGTTATCTGATTGCATAGATATGCAACAACTTGAATTCCCCTGACTAAAGACACCGTTGCTATACCTCGTGATTCGGGGCAAGCATTCGCATAGCGACCACCATCTCTGGAATGGACTGGTTCCTTTGTGCCATTCCTATCCATTGAGAACAGTGTATTGTTACTAAGCAAAAGCTTGCCCCGAATCACGAGGTACATGTATGTATATGTATAGCAACAGTGGTTTTAGTATGGAGAATTCAAGTTATGTTCACGTGAAATTAAAGAACTCAGTGTACCGAATTTTATGTAAATGTAACTTGCAGATGGCTTATTGCACACCCGCATAACAAGCTTCTGTGCAATAATACCTGTACATGTTTAATACCCACACTGCATTCCTCATGTTGTTCACGTTTCACCATTGTTTGATGCGTTCAACTTCTAATGAATTCAAGTTTCGATTGAGGATTGTGTTGGTAGTGATTGCTAAGAGGTGGGTTAACCCATGGGGGGGGGCTGTGAGATGGGCCAAACTAACTAAATGGTGCAAGACTGTGTTCCCAAAACTTCATTCCCAAGTTTACCATGTCAACTCAACACGTCAACAAAACAAGCCCTAAATTTTCCATCCCAGACGATCTCATTTTTCCCCATCAGTCCTAAGAACAACGTTTAATATAAAGCCAGATCTGCAGAAAGGCTTTACTGCGTGATGTGTGTGGGTTGTTGTGTGTCTTGAACTAAAATGGGAAAAGACTGCAGCCTGGCCTTGCCCAACGCACACTGAACTTTAAAAGAAACAATTACATTAGCAGGGCTTCCCCTATGCTTGTACATTGGTAATTCCAGAAATTAGGGGTCCATTTTTGTGTGTGTGTCCCTGTCTGATCTGACACATGATTTTGTAAGCTCAGAACACATTTTCGAATTTCCAGGAGTGATGAAATAATGATAATTACCTGGCAAACAAATAGTAACAGTTTGAAATCAATTCCGGTGATATTTCCATGTCAAATAACAAAGGCCAGATGTAACTGAGACACAAAAATGTCACACTTTGGATCCCAAATTTCTGGAATTACCCACGTGTATATTTTTTCGAGTATTGCAACAACTGGAAATATTTCGTACGAGGTTGGACGTCACAGGCACGGAGGCTGAAGTTTGACTGCAACAGTAGAGTGCTTTATGCTCTCACAAAGTTGACACTCCCTTCGGCAGTCAAAAATGGACAGGGCAGAAATTGCCTGTCAGTTTTGACACAAAAATGAACATTGATTTATTTTTTTTGTGTCCGAACAGAATCACTCCCTGGTCTCAATCCAGTCGTAATTTCCCCACTGATACACAGGAAGAAAAGGTTGTGTAGTGCCCTTGGCATGGCAGAAATGCAGAACCATCAGGGAAACACTGTTGACGCGACGGTGCCATACTGGTCCCTTATTTTTGTGCCCCTTGTCATACTTGCTTCTGTGTTCTTCAGCTCTGCATATTTTTATTCCATTTATTTACTTCGTAGACATGTTTAAGACAGATTTGAGGTGGTCATGGGTAAAGGTGCCCGTCTGTTTCAAGCAAAACTCAGGCCCGAAAAAAGTGCAGTGGTATGATAATGCTTGCGAAGATTTTTCATGTCCTGTCTGTGCGAAACCTGGACAGTTTTTGAGAACTCGGTTTTCTGGATGGAGAGGACATTTGAAGATATGTGCATGCTGAGTTGTTATAGGCTGAAACAGCATATCCTCTTGGCATTCATCTGGCATTCCTTATGCCAGAATATCAAAGACCAGAAGAAATTGACCATAATTTTAAATAAATTCTTTGCCATTTCTGCCTCAAAAGTTATTACAAACGTTACTTGCCAAAATTAACCAAGCCACTGCAAACCTCACATATTTTTCTCGAAGCGCGTCAAAACTGAGATGCAACAGTTTTGCACCAACATGATGACTTAATTTCGGTCTGCCCGCAGTCCATTAAAATCACCCACACCGAGTACTGTGCGATTTCAGATTTACTAATGTTTGGTGTCTCTTCCCACCCACCTCCCATTTTAGATCATCCTATTCACCCGCCCACCATGGAGGGAGACCCTTTTGCCTGCGAGCTGCCGGAGCCCATGCAGTGTGAGTTCAAGATGAAGGATGGCATCATCCGTGTCTATGAAAACGAAGAGGATGTGGCGAGGGACAAGCCCATCGACTTGCCCTGCGTGGACAAGATGACGTTTCTTGCCGATTCCAACATGATGATGGCGCTCATGGCCAACGGACCAATGTGAGGAGATTTTTTTTGATATGACATTCTTACATTGAAGCCATGAACCAAAAGAACCAGACTTTGTAAGATAATCGGGCGGGGGGGAGATTCCACCCAGCTGTCCCAAGGCCTATAATGTATCTTCTTGATAATTGGCTTGCCCATAAATACACTAATTATGAGCGTGTCTTTGAAGATTCAATTTGATCTGTCATTTGGGGCTTGTGGTGACGGTCATTTGTAGATACAGCGTGAAGGGTGTTGGCCTGCATGCTTTGACCTTGTCAGTGGGAAAGTCGCCATTTTGGGCTGACCTGTCTCGGACAACTGGGTGTTGCACAAGAAGGGTATGGCAAATTTTCCAAAATATGTCCAAATGATTCCAAGACGTTATTGATAAAACTCCCGAAGGCTCAGCCAAGGACCAAAATGAATTGTGACAACATCAGAGAAAATTTCAAGGAGGGGAGGAGAAATTCTGTGCCCCCTGGCTCGTCTAGGGTAAAAGAAGGGTATTTTAAATCTAGTTTCACAAGTTGTCTGACAGTATTTTGTCTGATGAGTTTTAGGAAATCATAATTCTTTAGCAGTTCTGGGTGATTCGGGGAGCAACATAATAGTTTAGGACAGGATATACGGTTGTGGTGGAAAGTTGAAGCACACTTGGACTGAAATTGTCTAATTTTACTTTTTAAGACTGTGCCGATTCGTGGTGACCTTTTTTTTTTCCTGTAGCTGATCAGCATGACATTGTAAATATACCGTTGATGTCCTGGTTGATCGGTTGTAGAAAAGAAATTGTTGACCGGAATCGAGTTTTAAAACCTTAAACACTTGCAGTCCAACTGTTTGTAAACTTCCGATCACCATTATGCTGATAGTGGGTGTTATGCGATGAACTAAAGCACAGCTTTAAAATCTGGACCTAAGTCCAAATGTCTGACCATTCAGGTTTCGTTTAAAGCACACCAACAGTTGCCATTCTGTTGTGTCTTTGCTTCTGCAGTAAGTCGTTTTCTTATCGGAGGCTGTCCTACCTGGCCTCCCGGTTTCATCTGCACAGTCTGCTGAACGAAATGAAGGAGCTCGCTGCTCAGAAGTCTGTGCCCCACCGAGATTTCTACAACATCAGAAAGGTACATGTCCAGTCAAACACCGGAGATCAGGGCCCAGAAGCCATCAAACTCCAAGAGCTGGTTTTGCTAGGTTTTGGCAGGTTTGGTACCATGCCCGATTAACTTCTTGTTGGATTTTGTTGGACTTGGTATCACCGGCCCTGGATGGTGGTGTTGGATTTTGTTGGACTTGGTATCACCGGCCCAGGATGGTGGTGTTGGATTTTGTTGGGCTTTGTATCACCGGCCCTGGATGATGGTGTTGGATGTTGTGTGAGTTGGGACACACAGGGGTCATTGTGTGCAATGTCTGGCTTGCTGGACCCAGTGTTGGACTATGCTTGATTTTGTCAGGTTTGGTTCTGCTGCAGTGCAAGTTATCCTATACAGCATAGACCCATCCATACCATATCACTCAAACTCCAATAGAGTCATCTTGTTTGAGTTAATCAGGTTTTGGCACAGTGACCTGCTTATTCAAGTACATTGACAAGTACACTTATTTGTTTAGGTCGGTTGGGTTCAGTGTGCTCTGTAGTGTAATAGCCAAGAGGATTAGGTTAACCCTAACCCCTGAGGGACCATTGACATCCTGCATAACCTTGTGTAAATGTTTTCTGTTTAGTCAGTTTCTTACATACCTCTTCATAATTGTCTTCATAGGTGGACACTCACGTCCATGCGTCCTCTGGAATGAACCAGAAACACCTCCTGCGATTCATCAAGAAGAAGATGAAAACAGATACCAACAAAGTCGTCTGCAAGAACAGGGACGGATCCACGATGACGCTCAAACAGGTTGGGAGAATTGTGTTATTTCCAGGCTAGTGTGGTGGTGATCTTTGTAATGGTCATGTACCCTGCCTTATGTTTTGCATTTCTGATAGTAAGGAAAGGCGGCTCTGGAATGGTGCTTAAAATTAGTCAGAAAAATGGGCCTGGTTTCCAACATTACACCTGATGCAGCCTACATCACAGCACCGGTTTTGCCAACCTGCAGTGGCTCGGAGTATAAAAACCAACAGAATAATTCACAAAGTGTCATTTAAATATCAAAACGCTAAAATAATGAGCACTTCCACGAATATGCTAACAGAAAATGCCTCTCATGTTAACAACAATGAAGTTAAACGTGCATTTGTAGGCAAATATTGTTGCCAACCAATGGTGAACTTTCTGTGGACTTTGGCTGGCCTTACAAAACGGCGGTCGACGTTTGTACATGTAAGCTGAAGGAAGGTTTGTACATCATTGCACGAGAGGTGCTAGAGCTGTCTGGAACCTTGCCTCTACCTGTTTCACCATACAGAATATGAGCACTGGGGCGCCGACCAATGATCAGAGCGGTTTCCCTTTCAGTAAACTCATTTTGAATGTCCTGTGGTGTACGCGTAGATATATTTCATGTTGGAACTGTGTTTGTTTGTTTGTTTGTTTATTTTTTTAAAATTGTCCTAGGTTTGCCTTGCTGGTTTTAAAACAAATCTGGACGTTTTCTCGCTTCAGGTGTTTGACAGTCTGAACCTGACAGCATACGACATCAACGTCGACACCCTGGACGTGCATGCTGTAAGTCGAGCCACTCTCTGTGTCACTCTGAGAGTGATGCTTTGGCAGAGTTTCGAGATGACCCGAATCTGACTGTAGCAAAGTTCGCATCTTTTGGCAGATGATATGCACTGCGTTTGTATGTGGGTTGTGACATTTGTGTCAGTGTGACATTTTTGTGTCCTCGTTACTACTCACCCGTGTAATTTGACAAGGAAATATCACTAAAATTTATTTCAAATTACATGTGTTTCTAGTTCTTTGGCAGGTAATTTGCATGAATTCATCACTCCTGGAAATTAGAGAAAGTGTTCTGAACTTAACAAATCTTATGTCAGATGTGACAGGGGCACGAAAAAAAATTGAACCCCTAATTTATAGAATGACCCATGTGTAAACTTTGAAACATTTTTGAAATTTACTACCGATCATGTTGACTTTAAAAATTTTCCATTGTTTCGTTAGATTGGTGTCCACTTTGTCGGGCTTAATTCTCTTGAATTTGTTACATTGTGTAGGATCGCAACACCTTCCATCGTTTTGACAAGTTCAACTCTAAGTATAACCCCATCGGGGAGAGCAAACTCCGGGAGATCTTCATTAAGACGGACAACCACATCGGCGGACTCTACTTCGCTCAGTTGATCAAGGTAAGAAGCTGAAGTTGGAAAGTTGTCGTTGAACATTCTAACCAGACAATCTGAGGTGTGCTGCCTCTAAATAGACGGTTGCAAACATTTCCTGCCATTCCGGGGGGGGGGGCATGTGGCCAAGTGGTTGGTTAGGGTTGGTGGCTTCCAATCAGGGTGGGAGATTTGGGTCCAGCTGCTGGTAGTGTGTTGCAGATGGAGCATAGGATGAGGCTGTTTGCAAGGGAATCATATAATTCACAAAATGTTTCATATCAGTCTTCAGGTTTTTTTCCTTTCAGTTAGGGCAAGTTTGTCTGACACCGCAAGGTTTCAATTGTAGCCCTTTTTTCATGAGATTGCTGTATTTGATCATGCTCCCCGAATCCACTTTATGTATTGAACGCTGTGAAATGAGAAAGAGCCCGACTAACCTCTATCCTGTAGCAGCCATCTTGCTTTTCTACCGTTCAAACCATTGACTGTTTGCCACTACTCAACTTCGGCTCTGTCTCAGACCTCAACTGTTTTTTTACACGACCTGACTTTGAAGCGGTAAGCCCTCTAATTAGTCTAATAGTGCCACAAAACATCAAATGAGATGCAAGAGAGCCAAAACTTACAGTAATCCAATTTGATTTAAATGCTTCAGGCCCACAGTCGGGGATTGGTTTGGGGACGAAGCCTGATCTGAGACAGGGACGAAGTTGAGTATTGGAAAACGGCCATTGTAACTGAACTAAGGCTGGAAGGGGAAATAGTCTGTTCCCTTTTATCAATATGTGACTTACTCTTGCCAGTTGGCCCGCAGGGACTATAGCCTCACTTGGGAAATTATCTTTGTCATTTTGACAATAAAGGCGACAGGAGTTTTTAGTCATGAATTATAATTACCCATCAAGCACCAGCATAGTAGTCTTATAATTTCTATCCTTTCAGCCATCTTTTTTCCCCCACACATATAACTTTTGTAGAAAATTTGGACAGCTTTCACTTTCCATTCAAGATATCGCACTCTTGAAATATTTGACAAACAAGTCTATGCAATATATTTTGGTGGATTGTTAGGAGATGTGTAATGATTTGGAGGAGAGCAAGTACCAGAATGCAGAGTACCGGTTATCCATCTACGGACGCAATGAAAAGGAGTGGGACAAGCTGGCCAAGTGGGCCGTCGACCACCAGGTCTACTCAGACAATGTCAGATGGCTTATCCAGATTCCCAGGCTATAGTAAGTCAATCTTGGTACCATTTCCAGGCAATATAATAAGGGCAATAACCACTTTCTGGGTAACGTACCAGGTCAGCATAATTGAGCTGGCAGTTAAGCAGAAAGTGGGGATGAAGCTGGTCAGCTAGAAAATACATTTTTTTAACTTCAAGACCGTGATCATTAAACTTTAAATGCTATTTGAAGTAGCGGATTCTATATTTAGATACCAGCACGGTAAAAGAATCTGACTTGACAAAGCTCAAATTTAGCCCCGTCGCTGGTTTTTTTTAAATCACGTGACCGCTTTCTTTCTGTCATTCAGTGATGTCTACCGATCCAACAAGATGGTGGCTAACTTTGCCAAGATCCTGAATAACATCTTCATGCCGCTGTTTGAGGCTACAAAGGATCCCAGCTCACACCCAGAGTTGCACAAGTTCCTACAATACGTTAGTATCAAAATCTATTTTTCTATTAGAAATTAGCAGATCTGCCAGAGATCCACATGTCATTGGTTGATACGGTACACCCAGTGTCTGTCTTTATCCTGGTCATATCTTCACACGGCCATTTGTGACAACCAGGAAGTCCAACCCAAACCACAGATATGCACGTTCCTCTAGCTTGCTTGTAATTAAATCAGTGGATCTGCCAATAATCCACACATGTTGTTTGTGGATCCCCTCGACCTCTACCTTTCGCAGTCCAACCAGGAGGTCTGCTATTCAAGAATGGCTAATAGGCAGAAGCAGTGGATCCAGTGGAGTGAAAACAGTTGATGTTAATTGCATTGATTTCGTTTATTGTCGTGCTGGATTGTTGCATTCAGTGGATTCTCTGCAAGATATAAATGTAACAAGAATAAGGTTCAGTCAAAAGATGTCACTGTCATCAGTAGCAGCCACTGTGGAAGGAATGGAGTTGATTTGCTCTTTTTTTCTAGCATTGGGCTTGTTGGCACATGTTGATTCTGTTAAGGATGATAAAAGAACCGTCATCAGAAATGTCTGGCTACGAAGATCCACAGACATGGATGGTGGTAGTTGATGTGCTGGATTAAAGAGAATCCCTTGTGTCAGGTTTTGAGGCTTTTAAATTCAAACCATTATTTGACTTCAGTACCTCTTGAGGAGTAAGATCATTAAATTTGTTTCACTAGATAGCTGGCTGTCAGTCATTGGATTCTGCATGTATGAGGATGTTGTTTATCAATCCACTAAGTCAATAAAATCATTGTTGATTCCTTAAGGCAGTGCAGTGTGGATAGACTTCTAATCAGTTGACCAGGAGTGAAGTCTGCTCAAGGACACACTGCCAACTTTCCCAAACGTTCAAAGTTTTTGGAGTCAGTGAGTTGATTAAAGGATTAACTTTTAATTTTTCATACTTATAAGTCAGTGGATTAGTGCATGGAGATGATTTCTTACATTAGTGGATCAATTTACTGAGAGGAATTCAGACCACGCAGGTGACTCAGAGGTCGCCTTATCACTTGATCAGCACACAATAAAATCAGTACACTTTAGTAGATTTTCAACATTCACCTCTTGAATCTGACCTGCATGCTTGTGTTTTTTGTGGATATCTCAATTACTTGTTTGTGGATCAACTAGGTGACCGGCTTTGACAGCGTGGACGATGAATCCAAGCCCGAAGACCTGATCTTCACCTCAGACAGTCCGGAGCCGGAGCAGTGGACGTCCACTGAAAATCCACCCTACTCCTACTGGATCTTCTACATGTACGCCAACCTTGTGGTCCTCAATCACTTCCGGAGGTAAATAAATTGAAGTCATCTTCCTAAAAACTGCCCCCTCATCACACATGCAGTTAATAGCAACAAGTTCAGTCTCCAACAGTTTTAATATCAACTGCCAGTCAATTTTGCCAGTCTGAGACAACTTGTGGATGTGGTTCAGGTATAAGTTGCAGGATTTTTGATAAATTTCCTCAGTCTTTTAGCAATGAAGCAGTCAGTTTGTTTACACATGTTAAGGGGTCAACCCTTTTGGCTTCGACCATGCTGACCAATCATATGGGTATTGGTGAGCAAAACCTATGTCTTTTCGTGCCCCCTGATGGTACGAAAAAAAGCACCATGCTATGCCACAAGGTGCGCTTAGGTGTCTTGAGTTGAGCAATCAAAAGTCACTCTCCTGGAAACTACAAGCCACTCTTATGGGGTCATCCATTTTGGGACCCCTGGCCAAATGTTCGTGTAAACAGCCTTCACTTTTGACAAATTGCTTATGAAAATTCAATAGGAACTCTTCTGAAACAAACGCCTCCTTTTGGCGTGTAAATTAGATTCCACCTGCAACTTTTCTGCATTTTGTCCCTGATTAAACATGCCGGTGGTTGCGGAACCTTCTCGGGGGTACTTCTCCAGGGTACTTTCTCTGTAACAAGTGATGTGACCATTTTTCAGATGTGTAAATACAGTTGCACTCTTTTTGGAAGTTGAGTCAAGGTATTAAGTCAGTAACGCAGTAAGAAACTGAGGTGACCGTGCTGGATTTGTCCCTTCTTTTCTGTGAACTTGGCTTCAACACTCTCGTGATCTATTGCCTTAGCTCGGTGTTGTAGTCAAGACCATCTTAAGGCCAGACACCAGACCAGATGAGACCATCTGCAAGACCCAATGCAGGTATTACGGTGAACAATGAAAAAGGAACAATTTTGTGATGGATTATTGGAGCAGCTTGTAACTGAATTCAGACCGTCGGTCTCGTGATAGTCTTGTGATGGTCTTGTAAGGTCTTGCACTGGTCTTGTGGGGTGCTGTGATTGTCTGAATAGGTCTCAACTACAACACTGCTCTGTCATAGATTGCCCTTAATGAGAGCAGCCGTCGCCACCCTTATTTTTTTTGTCTCTCCTCACTCTATCAGGGAGCGTGGTTTCAACACCTTTGTCCTCAGACCGCATTGTGGAGAGGCTGGCCCCGTCCATCATCTCGTCACTGCCTTTATGCTGGCAGAGAACATCTCCCACGGATTGCTGCTAAGAAAGGTACCTTTTTTATCTGTGAGCAAGGGCAGATCCGGAGTTATGAACAATGTTTATCCCTGAGATGTACACCTGCCTCAGGACTCGAGTCGTCATCGAGTAGAGCGACCTAGGTCATTTACTGATTACTCATCAACACCAAAGTTTGAGTGGCACCGGTAACTTGGCCGCTGGTGGATTTCCCTGGTAACCATTCCACAAAATGTATCCGGGGTACCAGGCAAAATCGACCATTGGTCTACATATGGTCAAACATGTTCATTGATTGTGGGTGAAAGTAACACATCTTTTGTGCATTGATTTCCTTTCACCAGACGCCAGTGTTGCAGTATTTGTACTACCTGGCCCAAATTGGCATTGCCATGTCCCCCCTCTCCAACAACTCCCTCTTCCTGAACTACCACCGCAACCCCCTGCCAGAGTTCCACGCCCGGGGACTGTGCGTCTCCCTGTCAACCGATGACCCGCTACAGTTCCACTTCACCAAGGTAAAGGGCAGAAATGCTGCCAACACCACTGACAGGAGTAGACCCAAGACTATTCACCAGACCATGTGCAGAATAAGTCACAAGACCAGACACAAAGTGAAACCTTTCATAAAACCATTCACAAGACCATGCAAAAGACTACACAAGATCTCCACAAGACCTTTCATAAGACCATGCCCAATATCATTCACAAGACCATGTCCAATACCATTCACAAGACCATGCCCAATGCCATTCACAAGACCTTGCCCAATTCCATTTTTAAGAGCATGCCCAATACCACTCACAAGACCATGCCCAATACCATTCACAAGACCATGCCCAATACCATTCACAAGATCATGCCCAATACCATTCACAAGACCATGCCCAATACCATTCACAAGATCATGCCCAATACCATTCACAAGATCATGCCCAATACCACTCACAAGATCATGCAAAACTAGTCACAAGACCCACGAAAGATCTCCACAAGACCAGTCTTGAGACCATCCACAAGATAATGCAAAACAATAGTCACGGGACTAGTAACGGGACCAGGTGCAAAACCTCATACAAGATCAGCCAACCCAGCGCAACTGGACGATGGCCCTGAAATCGATTATGATGATGATGTTACTCACAACCCATGGTAACCCTTGATGAATGACTGTTGCATTACTACAAGCATATATATGTAAATTTATTCGTGACTAATAGGAATTCATTGATGGAGGAATGCAGCATTGCTGCTTGCTAATACATATACAAATAATTTTTTTCATGATCCACAGGAGCCCTTGATGAGGGGGATACAACACTGTCACATGTTAATATATGTTAATTTATTCATGTCTAATAGGAGCCCTTGATGGAGGAATACAGCATTGCTGCTCAGGTATGGAAACTGACAACATGTGACATGAGCGAACTCGCCAGAAATAGCGTTGTTATGAGCGGCTTCCCAAATGAGGTAAAACCTGCCTTAGGCATCCAGAGCTCATTCTCTATGATTCCCATGTTGGTTTTTTTCTTTGAGGGAGAGTCGGTCAGTCAGTCAGGGATGAAAGAATTATTTAATTGCTTTTCTCCCAAACCTGTAAGATTATTATTTGTTCTCTTGTTTTGGTAGGAATTCCATATTTCAGTAAAAAATGTTGTTTTGTCTGTCTAAGGGAAAAGTAAGGGTCAGTCGGAAATGAGAACTATAGAGTTAAACTACGGATGCCTTTATGAATAAATGGTTGACAGTGGTGAATGTGCCAATTATGTAAAAACAAGAAAATAATGACTGCTGTTGTCAGGACATTTTTAAAAGTTTTAAGTGCCAGTGTTTTAGAAAAAAGTGTTCGAATGCAGTTTTAGAACAGCAACAGTAAAGTAGTTGACTACACGTCAGAAGAAGGTCTTGTGTACAACTATGGTTTTTTTGGGTTGTCATGTAGTTGATGGGTTGTTGATTGCAACCATTCAAGAATATTTATTCAGGTTTTGTACAAATAAAGTATAACTGCTAGGCATTTTGCATTGGATAGAATAATTTCCCCATGACAGATTCAGTGTTCCATTTCACCCTGCTTCACCTCCTAGAATGGAACATCCCATCTGTCATATTGACTCATTGACATTTCTCATTTATGAACTGCAGTGCTGCCTGATAGAAAAAAGGGTTACTTTGTTTTTGTTGCGCTCCTAGTTCAAGGACCACTGGCTTGGGCCCAACTGGCGCAAGGAAGGCCCCCCGGGGAATGACATCACGCGCACCAACATTCCGGACATCCGGGTGGCGTTCCGGGATGAGACGCTGACCGAAGAGCTGACCACCATCTGCCGGTCGGTTAAGGAGATGGCCCACCGGAACAGTGTGGTCACTGCACCCAAGTTCTGATTGCGGACCAAGTACGAATGTCAGCACGGCAAGACGGGCCCAGCCCCCCCCTGATGTGTCACTTGTGGGAAATTCAATCAGGGTGAAAATACCTGAATTGAAAGTGTTAGCCCATTGGCACTTTTATTACATTGTATAACACCGTGCTGCATTGTTTTACAATATGGTACACTGTATTACAATATGGTACATTGTATTACAATATGCTACATTGTATTACAATATGCTACATTGTATTACATTGCATTACGTTCTATCACACTGTGCTACCATGTATTTCATTGTGCTAAATGCCATCACATTGCATTGCATTGTGTTATATTTATATTTATCCGTGAACTCATAACACTATACTGTGCTCTGGTGGTTTGGGTGATACAGGGAATAATGGGCTACTGTGGGCAGAGGCTGGGCTGAGTAAAGTCTGCAGTTTATTAAGAAATATTGCGCATGAACTCAAAAGCCGAGGAGGCCACCCAGAGTGCAGCTGATATATCACCTCGCTCTGGCTCCTACATCAAGACAACTGTAAGGGCTGTTTCACTGGTTAGCACTTCACTCGGAGATGTCTTCTTGCTTGCATTATGCTCCTTTGGAAAAGTGCCTCGTGGCTCTTTGTAGGCATGGAAAGGGTTTCCAGTGTGTTCCTGGGTGGAGAGGACTACTCCGGGATAAGTGTGGCCAAAGGCAACTCCTCCTTTTATCTGATGGCCAGAATTAGGAAGCTGTTAATGTCACAGGGCACAACTTCTGCAGAGGTTGCACG